GCTGCAGACCCTGCGGGAGCCGGTGTTCGTGGCGAGGACCCTGTCGGTGCTAGCTCTGAGGGTGCTAGAGTTGGGGCTGAGCCCGAGGCTGCAGGAGACTCTCGTCTTCTGGGAGCTGGTGTAGGTGGTGCTGACACTGGGGGTGCTACCTCTAGGGGTGCGGGTGCCCCCCCTTCGGGTCCTAGTGAGCCTAGTCGTGTTGCTGTTGGTGGTACTGCCTCTGGGGGTGGTGCGCCGGGTGCTTTGGAGGGTGGTCCTGGGGCTGCCGTGGCCCCGAACACTACTCCTTCCCCCCACCCCTACCCGACCTGGTACCAGGCTCGTGTTCGCCGTGCCCGTGAGGAGCAGCTGGAGTTGGAGAGAGAGGAGAGAGAGTTGCAGCGGCTGAGGAGGAGCAGCAGCAGCCACAGCTGGAGCTGCCGCAGCAGCAGGAGGCGCAGCAGCAGCCGCCGCAGGAGCAGCAGCAGCAGCAGCAGCCGCCTCCTCCTCCTGTCTCTGGTCTTCGGACCCTCGGTCTCCCCTCTCGCTCTCCTTCCTCCCCCCCTTTCCTCCCGTCTCTGGTCCTTCGCTTCCTCCTCCTGACCCCTCCCCAGCTGTTTTCCCTCGTTCTCAGCCTCCGTTGTCCCCTCCTCTTTCTCACACTTGGCCTTCTCGTCGCTCTCCTCGTGCTCGTCCCTCGTCCCCTGTTCCCGTCACTGACCTTCGTACTGCCCTCTTTCGTTCTAGTCCGCCTCGTTCGTCTCCGTCTGTGCTTCCGTCTCCTCCTGAGTCGGCCCTCACTGCTTCCCTCTCTACTCCTGTCACTGACTACTACCACACGTACCGTCCTGTTCTCTCTCGTGTTCTCGCCTCTCTTGTTACCGACCCTCGTGCCTCTGTGTCCTCTGTCTCAGCTCTTACTGCTGCATCTTAGAAACTAGGCATGAAAAGGTGGACTAGGAAAAGTGACGAGAGGCTTTACAAGGGAGAAAATCTAAAGGGGTTGTACCCCACATTATCTACCCCACTACAGCCTACCCACTATTATAACATATATATATGTTTGACACACCCCCATAGGCAAAGTGGGGGAGAGCAAAGGGTCACAAGACCAGTCAAGAGAAGCAAAGCAAACTCAGGGTGGATCACAACGTCACCACACACTCTGAGCACAAGCAAGGGGCCACAAGGCCAGTTCACATGCAGAGATATATACTCAACAACAACAGCACAGTGATCACTACCTAGCAAGAGCAAGCAAGCAGGTATATATATATAGATCACAGTACAAACAAAGTCTACAGCAAGTGTGGAAACGTAGGCACAAGACCTAACAAAGTACAAAAGCGCTGATGATTACCAAACGGAAGCACCTTGGTGAATATATCAGCAGTGTTGGCCCGAGTGGCCACGTGAGCAAGACGAAGCTGACCCCGCTGCTGCAACTCTCGAGCCAGGAAGTAACGCAGAGCGATGTGCTTCGTTCTGTGCTCCAGTCTGTGCTCCTGACACAAGGCAATGGCGGCCTTGTTGTCGACGTACAGCACTGGAGGAGAACGAGGTCGCTCTCCCAAGTCGGTCAGCAGGTAGGTGAGCCAGCGTAACTCCTGTGTAGCCATGGCTGTGGCGTAGATCTCAGCCTCACAACTGGAGCTGAGAACAGAAGACGAGCGTGTAGAACGCCAAGAAAACTGAACCAGAGCCAAGGCTGAAAGTGTAACCCTGTGACGACCGCTGCGTAGCCTGGTCGTCAACCCAAGAAGCGTCTGAGTGCCCAGTGAGGACAACGTCGCTCCGTCCTCCAAGCATGAGCCCCATGCCCGATGTGCTGCACAAGTAGCGCAGTACCCTCTTAGCAGCATCCATGTGCACCTTTCGGTGCCGACCAGGAGCCACGTAGCGAGCCAGAAGGCCAAGAGGGTACGCAAGGTCAGGACGAGTGCAAGTCATCAGGTACATGAGGCAGCCCACTAGCTCTGCGTAAGGACCACTCGACTCTACGGACTCGTCCAAAGGTGGAGCTGAGAGCGAGTGACCTGTAGCCAGAGGAGTGGACTGTGCTGAGGACCAGGTGAAGCCGAAGCGCTGGAGAACCTGCTGCACCATGTGTGACTGAGTCAGTATGATGGTGCGGCGTGCTCTGTCCCGGATGATCTGCAAGCCAAGGTAGCTGCGCAGCTCACCCAGGTCTGTGCACGTGTGTCTCCTCTGCAGCTCCGACTTCACCAGGGCGAGAGCCTCAGTGTCAGCAGTGGCAAAGACCAAGTCATCGACGTACACAAGGATGTAGAACGGCGGCAGCGAGGTGTCGGTGCGGAGAAACAGCGACGGGTCAGCAGTCGAAGGAGCAAACCCAAGAGCCGCAAGTGTAGTCCTCAGTGTGTCGTGCCACTCACGAGGCGCCTGGCGGAGACCGTAGACTAGCCGCCGGAGGCTCCACTGGGTACCAGGAGGGAACGACCCAGTGAAGCCAGGTGGTCGGCGCAGCCAGATCTCCTCGTGCAGGCTGCCCTGTAAGAAGGCTGTGCTGAAGTCAAGAGAGTAAAGCTCGTAGTCACGCTGAGCGGCAACATGCAGCAGCACCCGAAGAGTGGTCATCTTCGGGGTGGGGGAGAAGGTCTGAAAGAAGTCGACTCCCTCTCGCTGACTGAAGCCTCGAGCAACGTAACGAGCCTTGAAGACAGGCGAAGAACCCGGCGGCCGCTTCACCCTGAAAATTCACATGCCATCGACGATGTTCGCCCCAGGAGGGGGAACCTCATCGACGTAAGTGCCTGTGGACTTCAGGACGCCATCTCTGCATCCATGGCTGCCTGCCACTGAGAGGAGTAGGGAACCGCGATCGCCTCAGCATAAGATCGCGGGGTCGGGATGTATAAAGTATCCGGGTCTCCCTCAGGGGCAAGCAGCATGGCCACGAGATGAGGCGCAGCGGCTGCAAGACACTCAAGGTCCTCGTGCATGTCCTCAAGGACGTCCGTGCCAAGAGCACACTCACCCTCGACGGACGGAGGACAGACGGACTCAGACTCAGCAACAAGACTAGCAGTGTAGTCTAGACGACAGGTAGCAGCAAAGTCAACAAGCTCAGCGACCAAGACAGACGCGGCAGAATACTCAAACAACGGGTCAGTGACAACAGTGGCTAACAGATGCGTGACAGTAGGGTGCTCAGCACGAAACTGGTCTGACGCTGGGTCCGCAACGTCAATCAGAGAGGACGCAGGGGGAGACGGCAGAGGAACACGCTGCGGAGCAGAGGAAGGACGACGGACTACTAGGTGTGTGCCGGGGATAGCCGGCTGACGCGTACGGGGAACACGACTACCAGTACGACCAGTGCGGACAGTGCGAACAGGCGAGACAGGACGTGACGCAGGCTCACGACGCTCAGCAAGACTGTCCGGCTGCTCAGTGTAAGGAGAAGGAGCAGGCAGCGGTGAGCCAGGCTGTAACGGAAGACCAGTAGACGACGGGAGGGTAAGAATCTGACGCAGCACAGAGTCAGGCGGTGGCAGAGACGACGGAGACGGCGGAGCGAAGAACAGTCGTGGCTGCGCAGTGCCACCAGCACCAGCAGCTCCAGTACCTCCAGCAGCTCCAGCACCTCCAGCAGCGCCAGAACCTCCAGCTCCAGCTCCTCGAGCGCCAGCACCACCAGCAGCTCCCGAACCTCCAGCTCCAGAACCTCCAGCGCCAGCACCACCAGCAGCTCCTGAACCCCCAGCGCCAGCACCTCCAGTTTCAGCGCCACCAGCAGCAACACCCTAAGAACCGGCACCCCCAGTCACAGGGACCCCAGCCTCAGTGTCTCCAGCAGCAGCACCCCCAGACGCAGCACCTCCAGCCCCAGCAGCTCCAGTACCTCCAGTACGAGCACCTCCGGGACCAGGGACTCTAGCCATTGTGACTCTTCTTACGCTGACGACGCTGAGACTCACAGGTCTACTCAGGGGTAGTGTTTCAACTTGGGTTCTGGAGCTGTTTCACGAAGGTCCACGCGCTCCTCTTCGGTCTCGACCTCTACAGCTGAGGCTGAGATCTACGCTGGTGCCATGGCGGCACAGGAGCTGCGTTGGTTGACCTTCTTGCTCGCCGACCTTGGTGAGCGGCTGAGCTCTGCACCGACCTTGTTCACTGACAACAAGGTGTCGATTCTCCTCTGTCGAAAGCCGCGACTAAAGAGCAGAGTGAAGCACATTAACGTCAGGTACTTTCTTCTGCGAGAGTTGCAGAGACGTGGACAGGCTCGCTTCGAGTTTGTGAATTCCGAGGCCAACACTGCAAAGATCTCCACCAAGGCGCTTCCGCCTTGTGACCACCAGAGGTGTTGTGTGCAGTTAGGTCTTGTTGACACAGGTTCTAGTCGTGTGTAGGCTTGAGTTTACTGTTTGTACTCTTGCCATACACCTTTGTGAACTCTTGGACTGGCCTTGTGGCCACTGTTGCTTGTGCTCAGAGTGTGTGGTGACGTTGTGATCCACCATGAGCTTTGTTTCTTTGTGACTGGTCTTGTGACCGTACACTTTTGGTTTTGCGTGACACCCCTCACTTAGGCTATGGGGGTGTGTCAAATGTTGTAGCCTGTAGTGAGGTTTGTCTTAGGGGGTACAAATGTTAGGGTTTGCTATATGTACCCCAACCCACATCAATAACACCAACACTTTCATTCTTGACATGTTTATACTCTTCACAACTAGCGTAGAGGGGGGGATGTGTGAAACAAGACCTGGTCTGGCTGTGAGGGAGTGGCATGGATGGAAGAAAGATCAATAGCACTAGGGAGAATGGGAAATGGCAAACATACCATAACTCTGTACAAAATGGTGGACAACAATTCTGCAAACACAAGTGAATGCAGAATCCTAACCAGGACACAATGCCCAACCGATGGAAGCAGATCACCAGCAAGCAACCCTCTAGCTTACGTTACGTGCAACAGAAGCATACGTACGGTATATCAATTGATTGCACTCTCCAGTATATATTCAAGGTACTACCTAGACACTTCAGGAGCCATTTCATGTGTCCAAGTAGTTAGCAGCCATGAGTAGCTCGAGTGCAATCTCAGGCTCAATCTTGAACTCTGGGATGTTCTTTTGGCTGGTTGCAACGAGAAGAGGAGGAAAAACGGGTAGAAAATTTGAGGAGGTGAGATTTTGAAATACAGCGGGGGTTTAGATTCTGTTGGTGCGACTAATACTGCTACAAAAACAACATCAAAAGACGTTAACACCATGCATGCAAGGGAAGGGGATCAGGGAAAGAAAGACGTTGGAAACATAAATAATTCTTTCTCCCTGCCCCAATGCCATTCCACCCACGCTTTCCCTCCCCCCCACCTCCCAAATCCCATCTTTCTGTCCCTCCTTCCTTCCACTACTCCTCCCCCCTCTTTCTTCCACTAGCATCCCACCTCCCTCCGGTCTTACTTAGCGGGATTGCTGTATCGCAGCTTGTAGTAAAAATACTGGCACAACTTCTCCAAGATGGGGGTACTGATCTCTGGAAACCGCACCTCACCGCTGTCACTCTCCTGGAACCCCCCTGCAATACAGGTTCCAAGGTACAAGGGAATAGGTCGGGAGGGGTTGGCAGGGGGGAAAGGTGGTGCACGGGGGAAAGGGGATAGGTAGGATGGATGGTATGCGGTTGAAAGATTTTGAAGGCTGAATGGATGAGTGGACCTGAGGAAGGATGAGAGGCAGCGCATATGGGGATTAGCGGGGCCAAGAGGAAGAAAAGTGAAATGGTAGGGAGCTGAAGAGTGTTCGAAGATGTGCTATGGTAAACAGAACTTTGGCATGGAACGTTAACCAGAATGGTAGCACAAACAAAGAGGGGTGAAAGAGAGGGGGGTAGTGGGGGGAAAGGGGGGGAGAGGGGCGTTTGGCGGACAGGGGAAAGAAGAAGAGCTGAGCATGGTGCTGACCTGAAGAGCTGAGCATGGTGCTGACCTGAAGAGCTGAGCATGGTGCTGACCTGAAGAGCTGAGCATGGTGCTGACCTGAAGAGCTGAGCATGCTTCGCAGCGTGTTGGACACCATGGCTGCCTGGCGGTCAATCACAAACTCAAAGCCCTCCGCACTGATCAGCTTCACCTGCGCGTACGGCCACACGGATAGGGATGAAGGCAGGCACACGCGGGCACACAGTCGCGGATCGCGCACACACGTACAGACGCATCCATAGGGGTGTGTATGCGTGTGTGCGCGTGTGCGAGTGCGTGTGCGTGTGCGTATATGTGCGCGTGCGTGCGCGTGTGCGTGCGCGTGTGCGTGCGAGTGCATGTGCGTATATGTGCGTGTGCGTGTGTGGGGGGAAAGAGGAGAGGGAAAGGTGGGGTGGAGGTCGTTCGCGGGTTACCATGTCGCCTTTGTGGATTGTCGCCATGAACCTCTTCGCAGTTCTTCAAGGCCCTTCGAGGTTTGAATATGCTGCTACTTTTCGCAGTCCTCTTGCCGACTCTCCTATAAAAGCCAGGCTCGAAATCGCTCTCAAGCGCGCGCCTTTCCCGGTCGATGGCCCGAATCGCACTCGAAGTGAAAGTCTAGAGGACTTTTTTTATAAGAACGACGATATGCGATGCTAAAACGGCATCCTAAGAGCCTTATCCACCGGTGCTCCGCTATGCGTTCTTCCCTTTGAAAAAATCTCGTGCTTGAATCCCTAGAAACTAAGTGTTCCCCGTCCAGAGCTTGCGAGCACTAAGCCGAGTCCTGGCGTCAGGCAATAAGGAATAAACGGCAAAAGAAAATAATACCAAGTTTCGATTCAGGCTCCACGAGTGGAGGTGGGAAGCTCGAACTGGCACACACAGAGGCGGAGGACGGCGAACTGGCACACACAGAGGCGGAGGACGGCGAACTGGCACATCAGTAGTGGGCGAGGTGGAGAATGGAAGTGTGCAGAATGGAAGCGGCAGATGGTGGGGGTATTGAAGGCAAGACGATACTACTTTCTCGAACGCCCGCCACAAGTCAGGTTACCAATCTGGCGATGAGTCGGGTTTGGGGTTATTATACGAGTCGTCACCGAGTGCAAAATTATTCCGGATAGTCACCAACTATCACAGATAGTCACTTGTAGCCCCCGCAATTTTACCACGTTTAGTCACTAGTTCAAAACGCTCACCCTAAAATTGAAGCACTCCCCCCTTAGATGTCCCACTGTTGCAATATAAGGACTTTTAGCGCATTAACCGTTTTTTTTGCACAGCAATATTACAACGGAAACAACAAAAAAAAGAATCCTAGGTGAAGCCTTCACAACACTAATCAAGTAACATTATTTGTAACTTAAAGATGTGTCGAACAGTATATATATAATTTATTTGCATTCTAATCATTTTTCACAATAATTTAATTTATACAACAATAAAAAATTTTACCCCCATTTTTGACATTTGCATACCATAACATAATCATTTTCATTGATACATATTATCATATTTTATGGACTTTTAGCGAGTTAATGAATATGTTATAGCACAAAATCATTGGTAATGAATGTAGGCCGCAACAATTGCAGAGCCAATGAAATAAATAATAAGAAAGGCACGAGTTCAGTAACAAAATGATGACACGGGTAAGTATGAAGGAAATGATTGCAAATAAAATCGCGCGTATGTCAAATTTAGTACGTCTTATTTACGTTAACCATGGTAAGCTATATATATTGTATTATGTAAAGCAAACCACATAGGTTTCAATATTGTGGCTTGTCCAAATTCCCATCGTTACAAAAGCTGTATGCAAACACAGTAGACCCAAACTATGCATTCCATTGCAACCATGCGTAGCTCATCTCGCGCTCACGTTGTGGTGAAATTTGCGGTGGCCAATATTTCCAATGCGTCTCACGTTGTGGTGTCGATGGAGGACGATACGTTGTTGATGGGGATTTCGAGACATCGGCCTCTTCCGTGTGTCATCTTTGTCCAAGAACAGGATTGTGCATTTTTTCCATAAGTTTTTTGTTTGCTTAATATTGTTTTGTCACACTGTTCGCTTTGCGAAAACATTTAGTGAGAAAAAATATGGTCGGTTCGTTGGCAATAACTTCAGGGCCTAAGAAGCTTGCGCTCCGAGCCCTCCTGCCTAACATTGGAAATAGTTGTGAACTCCACCGAAGTGTATGTTGACGAGAGTTGGCTCCGCACTCGCTTGGGTGAGAGTTTGCCCGACTTCGTGAACGGATGTGTGGGAGGTGCAGCCGACCGTCTGCAGTGGGCGACGCCGACTTGGGCGAGCGGCCGACTTCGACCGAGGTGGTCCACGAAGGAGTTCGTCGACCTGGGGGGTCGGCGCCGACTTCATGGGCGTCGGGGGCATTACCTGGTCGACAAAAGTGGTGGTCGAGCAGGCCCTGTTCAACGGGATCTGGTCGACGAGCCCGTCAAGAGGACCTGGTCGATAAGTGCGGAGGTAACTCGTACAACGTGAGCTAGACTACAGTATAGGCGCGGGATAGTGTCCGAATGAAAGGAACAGGAATGAATGAACTAGCAAGGAGTTGGGTACAAGTAGGAAACCCTAAGTTTGTGTACCCTCTAAGGCTAAACCCACTATAGCCTACACAATATAAACATACAATGTTTGACACACCCCCATAGGCGAAGTGGGAGACAACCAGAGGGTCACAAGACCAGTCAAAGCAAAGCAAAGCAAAACAAGCTCAAGGTGGATCTCAAGGATACCACACAAATTCCGAGCACAAGCAAGCGGTCACAAGACCAGTTCACATGCAGTTTGATAATATAACAAGAGGTACAGTGATCACAACCTAGCAAGTGTAAGCATGCAGGTATATATATATATAGAGATCACAGTACAAGCAGAGTCAAGAAGTAAGCAAGTGAGGTCCAGTAGGCACAAGGCCTAGAAGAGTACAGAAGCGCTGATGGTCACAAGGCTGAAGCGCCTTGGTGAACACATCAGCAGTGTTGGCCTGAGTGGCCACGTAACGCAGATGAAGCTGACCACGCTGCTGCAGCTCTCGAGCAAGGAAGTAGCGCAGAGCGATATGCTTCGTTCTGTGCTCCAGTCTGTGCTCCTCACATAAGGCAATGGCAGCCTTGTTGTCGACGTACAACACTGGAGGAGAACGAGGCCGCTCTCCCAAGTCAGTCAGCAGGTAGGTGAGCCAGCGTAGCTCCTGGGCCGCCATGGCTGTGGCGTAGATCTCAGCCTCACAACTGGAGCTGAGAACAAAAGAAGAGCGTGTAGAACGCCAAGAAACTGAACCAGAGCCAAGACTGAAGGTGTAACCCTGAGACGACCGCTGAGTAGCCTGGTCGTCTGCCCAAGAAGCGTCTGAGTGCCCAGTGAGAACAACTCGGTCTCGCCCTCCAAGCACTAGCCCCATGCCTGACGTACTGCACAAGTAGCGCAACACCCTCTTAGCAGCATCCATGTGCTCCTTCCGGTGACGGCCGGGAGCGACATAGCGTGCAAGGATGCTCAGAGGGTATGCAAGGTCATCAGGTACATGAGGCAGCCCACAAGCTCTGGATACGGGCCACTCGGCTCTACGGATTCATCCGAAGGCAAAGCTGAGAGCGAGTGACCGGTACGCAGAGGAGTGGACTGAGGCGAGGAGTACGTGAAGCGGAAGCGCTGAAGGACCTACTGCACCATGTGTGACTGAGTCAAGGTGATGGTACACCGTGCTCTGTCCCAGGTGATCCGCAAGCCAAGATAGCTTGTCAGTTCACCCAGGTCTGTGCACGTGTGTCTCTTCTGCAGCTCCGACTTCACGTGGGCGAGTGCCGCAGTGTCAGCAGTGGCAAAGACCAAGTCGTCGACGTACACGAGGATGTAGAACGGCGGCAGCGAGGTGTCGGTGCGTAGAAACAGCGACGGGTCAGCAGTAGAAGGAGCGAACCCAAGAGCCGCAAGTGTCGTCCTCAGTGTGTCGTGCCACTCACGTGGCGCCTGTCGGAGACCGTAGACCGGCCGCCGGAGGCTCCACTGGGTACCAAGAGGAAACGACCCAGTGAAGCCAGGAGGGCGGCGCAGCCAGATCTCCTCGTGTAGGCTGCCCTGCAAGAAAGCAGTGCTGAAGTCAAGTGAGTGAAGCTCGTAGTCGCGGTGAGCGGCTATGTGCAGCAGCACCCGAAGAGTGGTCATCTTCGGGGTGGGGGAGAAGGTCTGGAAGAAGTCTACTCCCTCTCGCTGACTGAAGCCTCGAGCAACGTAGCGCGCCTTGAAGACAGGAGGAGAACCCGGCTGCCGCTTCACCCTGAAAATCCACATGTCACTGACGATGTTCGCCCCAGGTGGGGGAACCTCGTCGACGTAGGTGCCTGTGGACTTCCAGGAAGCCATCTCTGCGTCCATGGCTGTCTGCCACTGAGAGGAGTAGGGACCCTCCATCGCCTCTGCGTAAGAGCGCGGAGTCGGGATGTCTAGTGCATCCGGGTCTCCCTCAGGGGCAACTAGCATGGACACGAGATGGGGCAAAGCAGCAGCAAAGCACTGGAACTCCTCTTGTCTGTCCTCAAGGACGTCCGTGCCAAGAGCACACTCACCCCCGACGGACGGAGGACAGACAGACTCAGACTCAGCAACAAGGCTAGCAGCGTAGTCTAGACGACACCTGGCAGCAAAGTCAACCAACTCAGCGACCAGAGCAGACGCAGCAGAGGACTCAAAGGTAGGGTCAGTGACAACAGTGGCGAGGAGACGCGTGACAGTGGGACTGGCAGCACGACAGGAGTCAGACTCCGGGTCAGGAAGAGTAGGAAGAGAGGACGCAGGAGGAGACGGCAGAGGGACACGCTGAGGAGCAGTAGAGGGATGCAGAGTCATGTAGTGAGTGCCAGGGACAGGAGGAGGACGCTCACGTGGGACACGACGACCAGTGCGAGCAGCACGAACAGGCGACGCAGAGCAAGACGTAGGTGACACAGGACGAGACTCAGGCTCACGACGCTCCGTAAGACCTCCTGTGGGACCAGTGTAAGGAGAAGGACCAGGGAGAGGCGAGGCAGGCGGTAACTGTGACTGCGACTGGACAGACGGAGGACACTCTATGGAGGGAGGAGGACAAGGAGGAGGAGTCTGACCAAGAACCTGCTGAAGAAGCGGTACGAAGTACGGTCGCGGCCGCTCAGCGCCTCCAGAACCAGCAGAGACACCAGCGCCCAGGTCCTCAGCACCAGCAGCAGCTCCAACTCCCGGGTCCGGAGCACCAGCAGCAGCTCCAACGTCCGGGTCCGCAGCACCAGCCACAGCTCCAACTCCAGGGTCCGCAGCACCAGCAGCAGCTCCAACGTCCGGGTCCGCAGCAGCAGCCACAGCTCCAACTCCAGGGTCCGCAGCACCAGCAGCAGCTCCAACTCCAGGGTCCGCGACACCAGGAGCGCC